GATCATATGTATATAATCGTCCAATCATCATCGGAGTAGTTCATACTCGGCGATAATTGGACCGTCGAACGAACAAACAGCACTTGTACATCAGTCGTCAAATTGTGTCGCGTACACATACAAATGTCCTTTTTTATTTTTTGTGCGCTCCTCTCTCGTCCCCTGTCAGCTCCATGCACCGATGACGTGGTTTTTTAACCTTCGTTCATCGTACTCCTTTATTTCTTTATCCATATCATTTCACACACATTTCATACACATATCTCGCGCACTTGCACTCACAAATCAACTTAACGTAGCATTGCGTTTTTCATATTATCTCAATATACTTACACCGTTTCGTTTAACTTATGGTACAACTTTAATCGTATATATATATATTACTTTTTTGTTCTTACTCCCTACGTATAGTCTCAGCTTACGCGCGTTCACCTCTCACGCATACGTGTTTACTATGTATATTCATCAGTCACGCTTGTTTAACGCTCTAAATTTTTTTTTTTTTTTTCTGTGTATATGCATTACTTTATTCAGTGCGCAGATATTGTTCTTGATGATTTTATTGTACAGTGTGCGAGGCGCTATGTTGTTTTTACTCACCATTATTTATTTGCCCAATTTTTCAATCGTCTATTTTATTGTAGTTTTATTTTTATCAAGTTTTGTTTATCCACTATATAATAGGGGTCAGGGGAGAGGACGTATTTATTTACACTAAATTCGCTGCCCGTTTCATTAGATATACAACCCTCCCGTCTCCTTAACATGCACATTATCAACAATATATATCAACAATCAAAATCAACTTGCATGGATTTTTGATGCGCGCGAACAATTTTGTTTAGTAAAACTAATAATGACAATGAAGATACTAACAACGCGTGGGATGACTATGCGATGCACGCAAATACTCGCACTTAGTGTGGAAACAAACAATAACTCGAGACGTTAATGCGCTCGAGTAGAATCGCTCGGCTCAGGAGTCATGAATTCATTCGTGAAAATCAGATTTGCCTCGATAATCGGATTTCACGCAAGTCCCTCGAAAATGATACCATTGTTACAAGCGTTAAAAGGAATCGATACTTTCGCTCTATTTTTTTTTTCGTTTCCTTTTTTTTTTTTTTTTTTTTTTTTTTTTTTTTTTTTTTNTATTTTTGCTTGTGACTTTTCATCCATTCGCTCAAAAATGCGAACTATATAAAGTAAATCTAGCGATTTCTACATTGACAGATACTTCGCAGTTTGATTCTGCTGCCACCACTCGGACTCGCATGCCTTTGTATTTATATACTCCATTTCTCAGTTATACGCTCATATATATATATATAAATCTTTAGTTAACATTTAACTCCAACAATTCGATACAAGTTTATCGCATGTATGAGTTGAGAGACATTTTTTCGCCTATTGTTACGTCACACTTTACATCGTCTACACACGAAATACATACGATCATACTTATCGGCTTGACGAAAACGTGTACGAATTTTTGTTTTTTAGCCAAGCTTCGAAAAAAACTAATAATTACTTGCATCCATTTTTCATACATGCGATAAAATTGTAATTTTTTTTTTTTTTATTATTTTTTTTTTTAATAAACTGAAATCAGTAAATTAAAACAAATTTAGACCTCGCAAGTTGTATCGTTTGGGGGTTTTTTGTATTACGTAACGCGCAATTTTGATGGACTACCTTTATGATGATTATTTGCATGTGCCTGTGTTGCTAGTTTGCTAACATTTTTTTTTTGTTAAGTAGCAAAAATTGTTTTTATTTTCTCAAAATTCTTTTGCTCAAAAAGTTTTTTTTTAGATATGTTTAATTAAAACATTCTTTTAAGAATATCAAACCTTATACAAAGTAACAGTTCTTTCATATGTTTGCGGAATTTTTTGGTCAGCATAACTTAATGTCGTTTATGATATGTTTCCATAAATATGTTACGAATATATTTAATTGACAAAATTACATACAATTAACGTTAAATGTTTAATCTCGAAGCTGGTCGTACGTTTATCAAAAGTGAAAATTTCGAAACTTTTTTCTCAATGGATTTTTCTGTCCAGCACTCAAATGATTAATAATTTATGTTCAAGACGATATATTTTTTTTTTATAAGAACATCATCGCGTCATTTGAATGAAATATTCGCTATAATTAATCTTAACACTGACTGCTTGTATCATAATAACTTTCAAGACTCTGCAAAGTAATATTGATTAGAAATAAATCAACAAATATAAATGCATATTAACTTTCATACCAATACTTTTACTCTCATTTGATATAGAAACCTGACCGTAAAAAATTCCAAGTTAAATCCCAAGACACCACTCTATGAATACCAGTAGCAAAGGATGCACAAAAAAAAAAAAAAAAAAAAAAAATGAAGCATTTGAAACGCCAAACTCATTTCACTCCGAACAAAAACCATTAGACCTTTCGACGCGAGCAGCTCTCGGAATTTCATTTGCCTCATAACCGATGTACACGTAATCCTCGGGAGGTTTCAGGTTGCGTGTCGAGGAAGCAATTAGACTCTTAGTCAGTGCAAAAGTGGGAGGGAGAGAGAGAGAAAAGGAGAAACGAGCTCGCTGGTGCCGCGAGCAACAAGTGCTTCGCTCATCCCCGATATGAAGTGCGAGAGGAGCAAGAAGAAAGCTCACCCCGCGAGAAAAGTAAAAAGGAAGTCTAGGGGTTGGGTCGAGAGGAGGTAACGCCGAGCTGCGAATTATTATGATACCGCTCCTGGCGATGATGAAGCAAGCGTCTCGTTATTAATTGCCAGTGTAAGCCGATGCTCCGCGCGATCGGAGTACCAATTAGGTTGTTTGTGTGTATACCGGGGGTGAGATTGAGTTTTTTTTTAGCTTAAACGGCGAGATGGCTCAGTGGAGGATGCTCTGGTAAAAGTGTTGATTGAAATGAAGCAAGCTATCAAGTACAGTAAATTATCTTCTGGTTTGACGCTTTTTCTGAATCACTTAACACGTTATTGAACTTTTAAATAAAGTCTTAAGTTTCGCTCATTTGTGATAGTAAATCTTAAATGGATCGAATGATTGAATATTTTGACAGAAATCTATCATAACAATAAATCCTATTCTTTTGGATTTACTTAGCAAGCTTACTTGTTATCAAAGTGAATTTTGAAAAATATAAATACAAAAAGCATTCGATTACAATTTCGTGGATCTTTTTTATACTTCGCGGAGTATCAACAAGTTAAACTTTAAATACTTCGTGTGAAAATAACCTATTTAGGTTGCATTTGCAAAAGTTTTCAATCAACAGCAGTTAGTGGCTAAATTTTTACATGTATTTCTTTCGTGTACTTTTTTTTTGACACTTTATAAATTGAAGCAAATCAATACATAAAGTTACAGCCATGAGTTAGAATCCACTACTTATGAGAAATGTTTTATAATTTGATCTTAGAACAAGGTATGGATCTACGACTATGTTAAATTCCGAATGAATTTTTAAATTATGATATACTTTTGCTACTTGAAATTCAGTAAATGTAAGAATAAAATATCGAAGTAAAAAAAAATAATTAGCACCTTGTTACTTGAAATAACATTATCTAGTGCAGATTGAATGAATTTAATTATCTCTTTACTGAAAATAAACTCGATTCAACGAATCAAGCGAAGCCAAGTTGAGTAAGCTAATTCCGGTTACGTAAATATTGTGGAACGATGAGCTTTGTAAGGGAGCTCGCGGCGAACTCTCGTCTTTAATGGAGTGTAATAAGTGGAGGGATAATCCTGCCTTTGAGAGTGGCTTTCTTGCTCAAACATTACCAATGTTGTACGTTTTGTCTCCCTCTATCTTTATTTCTTTCTTCCTTTTTTGTCAAATTGTATAATCTTTTTTAAGTTACAACAAAAATCACGGAAAATTATTTGTTATCATTGTTATAATTTCTTTTTTTTTTACTCAAAATAGTGGTAATAATATGAGTAAAAATGATGTATATTATATTAATAAGAGTGGTGCTGATCAAACTGTCACTTATACGGTCATCTGCCAGAAATTCAACAACAATATGATACTTTCTGGAGTTTCCTTAACAAATAAACATCCAAACGTTATACTACCACATGCATAAAATAATATGAAATAAAGGATTTGTGTTTCTTTGGCACCATGATTTCTTATGATTTTTCTTATCCTAATCTTGTGTTTTGTTATTCTCATGAAAGCTGAAAAATTGAGCAATAGCTGGTAATAAAAAGTTATGCCCATTCGATGATAATTATTTTTTATTTTCACACACAATTTTTGTAGCCCGATTTTCCGCGCTTCTGTTTATCATTTGCAGTCAAAGCATGATTCTTCAAACTTGATAAAATTGTATGACATGACTTTTTTTTTTTTTTTTTTTACCAATACTTTTCTTTTTCTACCAGGGGTCAATACTTATTTTTGCATGTATGATTTAAAAATTGAGAAAAAAATATCGTTTGCGTTGCATTTTGTTTTATTTCGTCTCTCAATTGAAATTGGTTGCATTTTATTCTCGAAAGAGTTTATGTACACTTGTATTTACTAGCAGCTGCTTAAGATTCTACTACAAAAAAAAACATGAGGCTGAATGCAAATGAAAAAGTAAGTAAAAAAAAAAAAATAAATAAATAAATAAATGATTTTCATGAGTAGAAAAACAAAAAAGGTTATTATTACTTTAATGAATACAATAAAAAAGAAAAATAGAAATTTGTTTACCTCACCAAGCTTAAAAATAACAAGCACTGAGATCGAAAGGCAAAACAACCCCACGTGTCACAGGCTCCAGCAAGAACTCAAGCTTTCAGCCAAGCCACCAATTTTTCACCACAACCAAGCTTCCTGATCTGAGTAAAAAAAAAAAAAAAAAAAAATTTCCACCCCCACACACACCTACGCGCACACCCAAAAACCACACGGGCACTCGCTTGTAATAAAAATCCGTCCAAGTGAACACACGACATGCCGTCGAGTATCACACACACCTACGCCGCAGTAACCAAAACGAGCAGAGTCCCAAGAAGCAGTAGCAGCCCGGTGCTCGCGCGGTCGTCCAAGCAGGGTGGTGTCGCGGGCCTGCCACTGGCGGCCGCCGCGGCTGCAGCGGCGCTACCACTGCCATCGCTCGGCACGAGGGTGGAGCCCCCGGCTCCGTTTTCACGCAGCGAGCCTTGGTACACGTGGTTCAGTCTGCTGCTGTGCTCGTCCTTGCCACCCCGGCCGTTCAATTCGTTCGAGCCGCCGTGCTCGTTCATCTGCTCCTGGAGTTTGATTTCTGGGAACAGAATAAGGTTTGTTTTTTTCCTCCTTTCGAGAATCAATCGAAAATGATATCGTTTATGATGAATATTTTTTTTTTTTTTTTTACAATTCCGTCGCGAAAAGTTATACTTCCTGCTGGTTCCTTTTACTACTACCAAGGTCTAATGAAGCTCTTCAACGTATGTGCGATCGAGTTCGAGTTTGACCGTCACTCTGATTGTGGGGGATAAAGGAGTTTCACACTATTGTACGTGACAGTCAAAAACCCCAACGATATTACACTCATCAAAGACCTCGATCAGATTCAAGGTCATTAATTTAAAAATTGATGGCTAAAACATAAAAAACTTTAGTTATAGAGTATTGAATTTTCTCCAATGTTGGCATTGTTTTTCATCTGTACCATTGTTGTCTACGTAAAATCTGCGTCGTGCTTTTTTAAATTTGATAGCTGTACATACGTGCCTACCAACTTGATTACAGACGCAGTATACGTTTTTTTTATCGGTCCAGAAAATACTTAGCAGCTCCTACTTGATAGTTTTTTTTTTTTTTTAAGTTTTCTAGGTAATAAATACTACGGTTTTTTTAAGTTTGTTTCCGTAAACAAAGATATGAGTATTTTTTTTTTCATGACGAAATTTATACGTGACACTGAATTACTTGGTAGAATGAATAAGTACTAATGGCCCTTTAAAACTTACTAACCGCATTTGCCTATCGTTTTGTCAGTCATGAAGTTTTTTCTAAAGATGCATTGCTATTAAACGTTTTTCATTCGACGTGTCTCTTGAAAATCCTCCAACGACCTCAAAAAGTTCTCCATATCAGTCGTTAGTGAAGGTAGGTCCCATATTTTGACCATAAAAAATATTCAATTTCGAAACACTGAATGATGCTCATGAGTCTCCCTCCCCCTAAACCTCTACATTGATTGCACCGTCGAAAAATTCATCAAAATTTCCATCCAAACAAAAAGTCGAGGAGATAACGCAAATTGCAATTCAAATAATCTCTCCGCGTAGGTAAGTCCCGAATAATATCTCGTCACGACCGACGAGCAGCGAAAAACCGAACACGCGCACATGCAACCGTGGAAAAACTAAAACAACGAAAAAAAAAAAAAAAAAAAAAGCCGATGCGAAAAAGCTCCCGTCAGCCAGCAGCACAACCTCTTTTCAGCGACAGCTCGTTATCAGCGCTTCCGTTACAATAATTCCTTCGCGTAACCCTTTCCCCGTTACCCTCCCTGTTTTACCACCCCCTTCCAGCCCCTCCCAAAAAAAACGAGTTTGCCGCCAACTACAGCAACATCCACCAATCCAATTTCACTCCGTGTCTGCTGAAACGCGAAAACCGATTGCCTAAAAACACAACACCCCCTCCTACATGTACACAGCGTATACCTACCCCCACCAAGCGATTTGTACACAACAAAGGGAGTAATCGACAAAGGAAGCCAGAGAAAAATTGGCGGAACAAAGTTATCACTGATAGCGGCGAGAGAGGAGAAAAGAAAGGAAGCTGCATCAGTAGCAGCTGGCCCGATGATAAGAGCCGCAAGAACAAGAAGCAGCAGTCGCGGTGGTGGCGATGGTGCTCGTGGCGGCAAAGTCGGTGAAAACAATATCCGGCCGGTATTAGTTATCGTTTATCACGCACACACCCTACCCTGCGCGGCTGGAGGGGGAGGGGAAGAAGGAACTGGTAAGAGACAGCGCGCGAGTACACACACACACGTATAGACGTCACGCACGTGTAACAGCGGTAGCGGCGACTGAGAATTGGCCGTGCCATCTGTTGCCACGGACATGATCGATAAAAGTCCACGGCAAGTGTTATAAGTGCTAAACTGCTGCTTACGAAGCCTCCCCGTGTGTCTGTGTGTGCTCCCCTCTACTCTACGTTCTCGTATGTAGAGGTGTGTACATAAAAGAATCTGCAAGGTGAAAAAGTAAATTATTCAACTTGTGATGAAATGATTTAGTCGTTACTAAAAAATTTATAAACAAGTAATTTTTATGTTTCTGGTTTTTTTTTTTTGCTTTTTACGTGTTTTCAAGAAATACAAGTTTACAGAAAACATGGTGTTGATCACAAAATTTCTAGTTTTGCATGAAGCATTGCTCTATTTTCATTGCTTTGCTTGTTGTGTACTGATTGTATTATTTACTTAATCTGTCTAGCTAATAATTTGGCACCTTGTATTTTTTAAGAGTTTGCACATTAAAGCCCACACACAGGAATTGATAAATTTATTTGCATTGAAATAATAGGAAAATGGCAAGGGTGGTAAGAAGAAGGGAAAAGTTGAAAAAGTAAAGCCGATTCTTGTGAATAAGGATGAACCCGCTATTGTCATCTCAGAAACTAGTCCCTCACAACCTGCTCTTTTGCAAGAAAGCAATCACTTTGATGTTACTCAGCCAAAGGATGATCTTGAACTCATTAAAAGTCATAGCGTGAGTTCTTAAAAAGNCGAAAACGTTGCGGCCGATTCATTAAGTCGATATGCATATAAAAAGGACCAAAACAGGGTTGAGAAATTTAAAATATTTACAAAATTAACTAGAAAACCGGATAATAATTTATTTAAAAAACTTAAGGACATATCAAACCTATAATCAATGGATAACAGAATACGCGCAATCAGAGAAAAGATAAAGAATGGACATAAATATACCCGGTATAAACTAAAAGGAGAAACCCTTCATTAATTATGTAATTATAGAAAGAAAATTCTCCTACCAACATGCCTCGCCAAAGAAATTATTATCGAAGTGCACGAGTTATATGCACACATTGGGGCCAATAAATGTGTAGCAATGCTCAAAGACGATTTTGCATATCCAAAATTTAAAAAATTTGCAGCACGAACGCTTCATACTTGCGATACGTGTCAAAGAACAAAAGTATATACTACGGGATCACACTTTAAAACACGACCAATCATACCCGATGGACCCAAAAATTTAATTTCAATTGATTTCTATGGACCATTGCTCATTTCACGGGGAGGGGTGCGCCACATTTTGGCTGTAATCGATGTTTTTACAAAGTTTGTGGTATTGTATCCAATTAGGCGAGCCAATAAGACAACAACAATAAAAAAATTATTCAATCGCTACTTCCCAACATATGGTAAACCTTATCGTATACAATCAGATCACGGAACTCAGTTCACCGCGAATAAGTGGCGAAAAACATTTGAAGAAGCCGGGATTGAAATTTGTTTTTCCTCTATACGACACCCACAAAGTAATACAATTAAAGAGTTAATAGGAAGCTGGGACGATTCTTTCGAGTATTAGTCAAAGATAAACAAGAAAACGCAATAAACACACCACCCGAACTCAAATTGACACCTACAACCAAACCCATCATTACACCTACACCCATAAAAACCGTCACACAACTTTATCCCTTAATTAAGCCCCAACCACATCGCCTCCGTAAAAAATTCCTGCTAGTACAAAACATAAAAGATTACTTAAAACAAAACACCGATGTAAATAACAATGAATAAAACACATAACTTTAAACCTAATTTAAAAAAAAAAAAAAAAAAGCATTTTTTTTAGTTCTTCTAAGATATTTGTTTCGAGTATGAAACAACTCACCGTAAAGCCTGATGCCGCTCTCAGCATCGCCAAGCGAATTTTTCGAGATGCACTTGTAGCCGCCGAAATCACTTTTGCTCATCTTCTTGACGATCAGGTGCATCCACGCGCTGTACAAGTTCACCACCTCCTCGGACATGGCGTACTTGTCGTTGCTGATTATCATTTCACCTGCAAGCCAGAACATACCACGCGTCTACACCTATATGGCAATCCACCTGGTGGTTAATCACCCCACATTCGAATATCGAGCGCCAGGTTTGTTCTATGGCTTTTATCTGTATACGCAGTGAAATTCGGGGAATTTAGGTCAATTAACCAATGGGACATTTCCAAATTGGCCTTGGGGAGACACGCGTTAACTTTACAGCCATGATTTTACTCGATGCCTGGATTGTGGATGTAAAAATAGCATTTAAAAAACCCACGAGAAACTGATTATCATGACGAGACAAAAAAAAAAAAAAAAAACAAAGGGCCGAAAAGCACGCAGATGCTTGAACGAGCGGGCATCAACGAGCGGACGATCGAAGAAATAACCCCACACCGGAGAAAACGAGCCAAGTTGAAATTCAGTTGTGGATAATGAATGGATAAGCGCGCCCCCGCGAGTACGTGAGTTTGGAAATGCGCCGATGGAACGGGGAAGTTGCGAGCGAGCGGGTGGTTCACTGGCCCCCGAAACTTGAAATTGCAGGGCTCGCGTGTACACGAGGATGCGTGGGTGGGTGGCTCGCAAGGTATCGCGATGTACTTACCGTTTTCGCGCGTCCAGTAGTTGATCGGCTTCGGCGAGGCCTCGACTTTGCAGGACAGTGTCACGAGGGTGTTCATCGGTGCCCCGACCAGCTGGTTCGGCACCTCTATCAGCGGCCGGACTGCAAACAATCGGTTATTTCTTTCGCTCGCCTACTATTGCTCAAATTTTTACCAAGGGGATGATTTTGGCTCCCAAATGACTAATTTCACAGGATATGGGGGCTCGTTTTATGGTTCACCCGCGTCTTTCGAGACATGTGTGTACCTACTCTAAGACTGTGTTTACAACAATTCAATTTCTGATTGTCAAGTGAATCTAGGCGTCGTACCAAGTGAGGAACACTGTATGGGGACGTTTAAGATAAATGCTTACTGATACTTTTTTTTTTTTTTTTTTTTTTTTTTAAAANAATAAGTTAAAAAAGATATTAAATTACTAAATTAATTAAATTAAGGAAATATTCAGGACAATTCAATAAAGTAATTATTAATAAACAATTGCTGTATATGGTGCAGAAATCAATTGATTATTCAACAGATAAATTTTGAAACTTGATAATAATTATCTTCAATATTGTATATAATCGGCAATCTGAGCAATTTCGCTCTTTTACACAGGGCAACGAACCCGCCCTCCAACATATAAACACTAACATTGTTTGTGTGTTGGTTCCGAATCTTAGAGTTTTCTCGGTACAGATAATATTCTTAGCTGATTGTTACCACCACCAATTAACCAGGGTTATACTCAAAGAAAGGGAAGTCGTAACCGATACAATAGGCAGAAGAGGCATAGCACGCAAAACAGGATGAAATGGTTAGAAGCTGGACACAGAATGACTAGCGAAAAAAGTTGAGAATGGCATCGCTGCCATCTGAAACGACGAACAAAACCTAAACACTGCAAAAGGAGTACAGGAAATCACCGAGGCAACCATGCAACTCCTAAAAACTTTTTGCGAGGCCTCCATGCACAGAAAAAAAAAGATGGAACGGCAAATGCTAAGCTTACTGGTAAAACAAGGAAATTGCAGAATTAAGGCACCAATGTATCGAACATATACGCCTCTATGGAAGGGCCAGAAACAGACCAAAGACCGGACAAAGGTACTCCGAGTACCAACTTGCAAGAAAGACGATGCAAGCTTCCATCAAAAACGGCAAAAAGCAGTGCTGGCAGACTCTGTGCCAGAAAGTAGATAACGACATCTGAGGCAGAGCACATCAGAAAGTTCTGAAAAAACTGGAAAGACTCGCACCAGCTGCAAAAATAGACGGAGATACAATGAAACATATCGTACATTAGCTCTTCCCGATGCATCTAGAACTCGAGGATCAAGCAGACATGGATCTCATAGAAGAGGTACCTTTATGTACCCAGAGGGAACTAGAGCTAGCTGCCGCATTGCTTAAAAATAGAAAAGCTCCTGGACCAGACGGTATATGAGCAGAAGTCATTAACACAGCTGTGGAAAAACACCCATAGCTGCTCTTAAACCTATACAATGCATGTTTGCGAAAGGGGTTGTTCCCAACCCTCTGGAAAAACGCACGGCTGGTACTGATCGATAAAGGCAAGGGGAAGTCTATATCCCTGTCATCTTTTAGGCCCTTATGCATGCTGGATACGCCTGAAAAGTTATACGAAAAGCTGCTTAAGGCCCGTCTTCTACAGGCCATAGAAAACGCGGGAGACTTATCCGACAGGCAGTACGGATTTACAAAAGGAAGGTCTACTATAGGAGCATTAGAAAAAGTAGTAAAAGCAGTTTAAAACACTTGAGACGTATGCCATGGAGCCAGACCCCTCGTTCTTCTGGTGACCTTGGATGTGAAAAACGCTTTTAACTCAGCAAGGTGGAAGAACATGCTTCAAGCTCTAAAATACTTATTCAGAACACCAGGCTATCTCTTAAATGTATTGAGAGATTATCTCAATGACCGATTATTGACATATACGACATAAGAAGGTGAAACAAAAAAAAATAACTGCAGGCGCATCCAAGGGTTCTATACTTGGACCCGATCTCTAAAATGTGTCATATGACGGACTACTCTGACAGGAAATGCCAGAGGGGACGTTCTTGGTGGGATACGCGGATGATGCTGCTGTAGTGATCGTAGAACTCACGATGAAACTTGTTCAGATACAACTGAACCAGGTTATTTGGAGAGTGGCTCCATGGATGGAAAACCACAGACTCAAAGTTGCAGCAGGGGAGACAGAGATGGTACTATTAACGAGAAAAGCGATAGATACCATCATCTCCCTCAAGGTACAATAAGAAGAAGTAATAACGAAGAAAGCCGTAAAATACCTAGGGGTGACGCTGGATAGAAAGCTCACGTTTAAGAGCCACCTTAGGCAAGCATCGGACAGAGCAGCGGCAATAGTAGCGGCATTAAGCTGAATGATGCCGAACGTTAGAGGTCAAAAGCCTGCATTTTGCAGGCTCCTTATGTCTACGGCCCAGCTTATTATTTTGTACGCGGCTAAGATATGGGGAGATAAGATGAACATCGAAAAAAACAGAGTAAAAATTGGCTAAGTTCAAAGAATGGGAGCCCTGAGGATAATCTGTGCCTATCGCACAGTCTCAAAGTCTGCGATAATGGTGATAGCGGGCGTGATCCCCATCGAACTCCTCGCAAGGGAAAGACGATTGAATCACCTTACGGAGCTGGACCTAGGAATAAGGAAGGCCAAGAAAATCGCCCGGGAAATAACCTGGGAACACTGGCAACATAGATGGCAAGATGAATTAAGAGGTAGATGGACGGCACACCTGATAAAAGATGTCAAGGAATGGACAGAGCAAAAACATGGGGAAGTTGATGACAATTTTACCTCATGTCTCTTAAATCACAAGTATTTCCACCCGTACCTCAACAAGATGCGAAAAAGACAGATGGCTGCTTGGAAGTACTGCGGCTACGATAAAGATGACGCAGAATATTCGTTTTTTGACTGCATTAAGTGGAAAACCGAACAAAACGTGCTGCAGGAAAGGATCAGACCCTTCCATCCCGACAACGTCATAAATGAAATGCTGCTTAACAAAGAAATGTGGACTGCAGTAGCCCAATGTATATATATACAGTTCTCCTGGCCAAAAGAGAGGATGGTCTTCTGGACGACTGAGTGGAAGTGGTGAAAGGGTGGATCCAGTGGCATCGGGGGGGGGCGTGGGGTTGTGTTTCTGGCTGCAGCGACAGGGTAGTTCAAGGGGGGAGAGGTGGCGGGCCTTAAAGGTGAGGCTGCTAGGGAAATAGTAATAAGGTTAATAATGATAATAAATATGATAATAATGGTAATAAAAATGATAATGATGATAGTGATAATGATAACACTTTACTGAAGACAAACCCGCAAACTTAATTCCCGTGATAGCAAAAGGTCTAGCCAACTACAGTTGAAAAGCACGCAGGGGGCCATTCTTTGTTCTACAGGACGAGCTGCATGACTAGTTTAATAATCGCAACGATGAAANATATATATGAAACCAGGCAGACACACCGTGGCTTCATAACTTCTTTTTTTTTCCTCTCCTTTTTTTTTATATTTGTAAGTGTAGGTCTTTCCGTAAGTGCTGCAAAGCGTAGGACGGTGAATATCGTGTCGCTCGTGCTATACCCTCGCTTGCTTGGCTATACGCACGTGCTGTGTCAAGCTGAGCAAGAACGCGAAATTAATCTGATTTCCGTTGGTGTGAGTGTGTTTTTGTTGTCCACAGGGGGCACAACATTTTTTTTTCATTTTATTTTCATTTTTTCCCCAATTTGTTTCATCACAAACAGTAGACATAGTTTTATGTTTTTTTTTGGATAAACAGTTCCCGGAATCCCAAAATCTATCATATTGATACAAGGAAGGAAAACCAGTGTAAAGTGATACGTTTTGGGTTGTCAAGAGGTGAAGAATGAAAGGAGACGAGCACGGATTAGAATGTGTCTTTGAAATAGAGACAGGAATTCAAATTTCAAGTCACAGAAAAACTTAATTAATTGATAAAGCAATGAAAAGAAATGTAAAAAAAAAAATACACAGTTACTAAGGGAAAAAGACAACGATGCTATGCTTACTATTTTACTGCAGAATTTTATAGAGATAAACAGACACGTGCCCAAAGCAAACAAAACTAGCAATATAAAATTAAGTATCGGAAAAAAAGTAGATTGATATAGAGCATCGAAGATGCTCTTAATTTACCGGGGCCTAATTTATGAATTTCGTACTACAAATAAAATACCAAACTGCTCTAAGATGAGCACTATTTGTAGCTGTCGTTTTAATATTAACTTTCTATAGCAGTGATAATATTCTCTACTTTAAAAGAAATTGCCCGCAAAGACGTTCGAAAATCTAATGAAAAAAGGTCGAATCAAAATACGTAATTGAAACAACACCAAGTAAGCCAAAGAGGATAATAAGGCAAGACCAACGAGATGAAGAGGAAACAAGCAGCTCGTTTGCAATTCTATAATTCTCATACTTGGTAGAGGCAAGACCGAAGGGAGATAAAAGCTTCACGAGAGTGTGATGGGGAAAAAAAAAAAATGCTGCAAGGCGAGTGTATCAACATTGATGCACGGGTGGATGAAAAATAGCTACAGGTGTGAACGAAGCTCGCTTGTCTTTCGCATCATCTTAAAAGCCTTTCATAAAAGCCCAGCCGGTCTCACGAGCGGATAAGCCATCGTTGTGTACAGCAGATTATACGCGGCCTCTGCCCCCACTCGACGAGAAATAACGACGAGTGTACATGTATATGTGAGAGCGCCATGTGCAAGATATAGATAACAAATAAAAAGTGTCCCTTTGAATAAAACAAACGAACCCTGCTGTCTGGCTCACTTAGAGAATTTACATGTTATTTGCTGCGATTTGATTAACGGAGTTGTCACTTTATTGAATTTGCTCCTACGACCGTCTCGTGTCGGTTACTTTAATATTTACAGGTATTTTCTGTCGCTCTTTCACGAACAAAAAAGGTTACATCAACTGCATGTTTCACATTACAACGAATGCGACATAGTCATTCATTCGATTACTATAGAGCTTGATTGTCAATTTTGTAAAAAAAAAAAAAAAAAAAAAAGGATCCAAATATACATTGATGAAATTTCTCTCAAAGGTCATCCTTTCTTTTAAAAATATAATTCCCTCCAAGTCCTCCAATACGCAAAAATATATCTGCATACTCGCCTTAATTCTCTAACCCAAAAACTTCTTTAGAGCTGTCTGCTTTAGCAACATTTGCTTCCCTCACCATCGATTGACGCACAGCTCTTTGAATTTCCGTTCCGTCAACCAAAGAAAAAAAAAAAAAAAAAAATCTACTGAAAATTCGAACAAACCACTCTCCTCATCGGAACGCTGTACAAAAGCCACTTACATGCTTTTGTCCCGTACTGCAGCGCTCGTAAAGACACCGGTGGCAAGAAAGAGAAAAAAAAAAGGTACCCCCCAACTGACGAACTTTTCCCATTTTCCCCGTGCCTTTTGCAAACGCACAGCAGCGAGGCCATCGACATTTTCGCCCCGTTAAGTGAGTACACACGACAGTGGGGATCGCTCGCTCGCCCGGCCCGCAATTAACGTCCTCGCGATCGAGCAAAGGGCGATAGAGCGTTAAGTGAAAAACACTCTCCGCACGCGGGAGATTTTCCCGAGAGCACACGCGAGGCTCGAAAAATAGAGCAAGAGAGTGGTTCTTCTGGTACACTTTTCTTAATCCCTTTTTTATCATGGCCACGGTCCGTGACGCACGCCAGCCGCACGATCGCGCGACGCGAGAGTGGCGCGCGAGCTGGGTATAAAACCGGGAAAGTTTACGGGCAGGACGCCCGCACGGGCTCCCGGCACGTTCCAAGCTCTCTACCGCGACTCACCCTCCCCATCCGAAGGAGTAGGTGGTAATGCGGGGCGGAAAGGCACGAGGGGGGGTGCCTTATCTTATCGTCCCAGCAGCATCGTCTCTCGGTCTCCTTATACGCGCGGTAATGGTATATGGTGCTACCGTACACTTGCCGCGCTTCCTTCCTTCCTTCCTCGCTTGCTGGAGTCTACTAGCGCGCTCGGAGGAAAGAGTTTTAACGTTGGCTTTGCCAGATCGAGGGAAGAGTAACGGTGCAACGGATGTACACCGGGAGTCTCTCGTTAAAAGAAACAAAAGCTATGGAGAAGGGAATTGGAAAATAAACGTGGCTGGAGACAGATGGGGGCACGCCTTGCAAAAAGTGCCTCGATTCGAGGAAAAACTCGAGCCTTTAACTTTGCTCGGTGACCGAGTCATGAAATGCCAATTCCAAAATTTTAATTGCGCTTCGCGTGAATGTGAAATAACTTGTCTTGTCCGACTATTTAAAGGGCAAACCGGCAAAAAAGACGCGAAGCTTTTGTCCTAGCGATCAGTGCCGAATGGACGCGGGCGTCAGCAGAAATTGGACTCTCCTTCCTTGTCCTAGCTGATTTAAAAATCGAGCAATTAAGGAACGAGAGAGTCTTCTGCGCTGTACAACAGGTGATGTATATATAAATGTACACGTAAAGACGAGGTGTCGATCCACCGAATTATTCGAGGCGGTCCGTCTTAAAGGCCTCCTCGGCAGTTTCCCAACAGCAGCACGAGTATACACAGCAGCGGAGAGAAAGACGAAGCGCAGCTGTTGGTACGGGGCGGTGTGTGTTAGGCGAGCATCCAATTTCCGGGCGAGAAATTACCTATCTCCCGAAAGAGAGTGGATCTAAGACGTATATACTCCCGCGAAGATAGAGGGGGCCGAAGAATCGAGAGACAGATGGATTCGCGCTGATACGAGTGGAGGCGCAGGGTTGGGGGGGGGGGGCGCACTGCGCCGTAACCGCGGCTCTTAATTCATTCTACGCTGTATCTCTCGGTCGAGGGCGTAATTTTATTATCTTCCCACTGCCCGGGCTACCGATGGCCATTGCAGCTCTTTGAGGGCCCTCCGTATCTCGGTCCATTGTGCCGCTGTCCTTCTTTCTCCCCTTTCTCCTGCTACTACTTGTGTACTCTCCTCTACTTTGTGTATTTTCTGGCTTACACTCGAGGGGCCAGTGTTAAGGTGTTTCCCGCACTTAAAAAAAAAAATCCTTCGCTTTCTTACGGTAGTTATCGTTTTTATTTCTTGGTTCATTTTATTCTTTCTTTAGAGAGTTTGCTCCCCGGTAATTCGCTCGTGGGTCCCTTCTGCTTACGATCCGAAACTGGAAGGGTCTAGGAGCCAAATGACGGGGAGTAGTAGTAATGGAATCTGTGGTTTTTCTTTTATGTTAAAAAGTCAACTTTTTTTTTAAACATTTAACAAGGTGGTGGTAAAGTGTCATACATAAATATTTTTTTTTAATCTCAAGATTGCCCAGTGATTCTTTATTCTACTGCATGTTTAATAAAGATGGTTCGTTTGCATTTTTTTTTCTTGTTTTGTCAATAGAGCTCAAATGAATGATCATGTAAAAAGTATCAAAGCACGTACACTCTCGTTCAACTGAAATTAATATGACAGTGAAGAAAAGAGCGAACCATAAAAGGAACCCAACAAGTTGGCATTAATCTTGTGTCAGTAGTACGAATCGAGTATAGTCAGACCTTCCCTCAAAAGTAATATGCGAACATTAGTGCGGAGCCACTTAAGTAATACAAGAGCTTAACTTTGCCACGGTCGTATGAAAAATCGATGTGGCTTCGGTTTGCTCTACAGGAAAAAAAAAAAAAAAAGAGAGAAAGAGAGTGGAAAGCTTGCCATGAATTACTCACAATTGACCTGCAGCATCATTCGCTTGCTCACCGTTGGAGGTACTCCGTTACTTGCCAAGCACAAGTAAGTTCCCATCTCGCTCCGACCGATATTCGGAAAACTCAGAACTTCGCCTTGGGCTTGTGGTACTGGAACAGAAGCGGTGTAAAATTTTTAAATGTAAGAGACGCGCTGTATTGACGAAAATAAACTGGAGGACTCCCTGGCATGTTTATTTTTTACACACGTTTGAATATCGAGTGTTTATTGTCTATTTTGGTGGTTCGCATCATAATTTCTGAGAAAATGTGATGATTTATTTCGCGAAGCAGTAGTTTTCTGTGTCAAACACAACATTCGCGTCTTATTCGTGTTTTTTTTTTTTTTGCGGAATTCCAGTCAAGAATAATTTAGTAATCATAAAAATGTCCCCAGCGTGATTTTCAGAGGTAACGGGTTCATTAAAATATAAATTAATCCTCAAGCAGGCTCCATTATTCTGCTTCACGATACCTTAGCTCGTTAAAATTTAAATTACGAAATTTTTTTTCTTCTGCATTATATGTCTTGATTTCATTGTGCTTTTTACAAATTTCTTTCAAAAATTTTTTTTAGTAATTTTGAAGCTCAGACAAAAATGCTACAGACTCCTTGGACAAAGAATCTAATTTTTCAACCTTTTTAGCCCCATACGTTGACCTGCACTACTGTTTTTCTGCCATAGTTTATTATCTATTATAAACCAGCAGTACGCATAGTTATATCAATACGACGCATAGTCGAGTTGTATGCGTAGTCATTCATGATGGTATTTATCAAACAAACCCAATTTTAGAAAAAAATCAGTAGAAAAGTCGCAGTTTGGTCAGACAATTTTCGCTGATTCAGTGATCTTTAGGAGAATGATCATATGCTGATTTGTTTTTTTTTTTAAATTGACTGATTTTAAGTCTTGCCTTACGAGATGCACATATACATCTCTTTGTTTCGTCTGTGGATCAACTATTATATAAAAATACTTAAGTGGTGATAGGCACATTTTTTCACTTGCTTAAAAAAAAAAAAAAAAAAAAAAAAAAGCCGATGCGAATGTTCCAATGATCGAAAACGCATGGTCGATCGCACGCTCGAATGAAAAGCGGTGGTCTTCGATAACCCCTCGGTATAAACATACATATATGTATACATAACGAGGTAAATAGAGGGTCGCAGTAGTAACGGTCGATCGTAGGTAGGCCGCGCGTGTCCAAGGGAGGTGGGGGTTGGCTTAGCCCGACGTAGACGTTTGCACGCTATATGTGTATACGGTACACACAGGAGCGGTGTATACATCGACAAAGTCCATACCCATATACGAAGTTTATCTCGGCATATAGAGGGGGTGGGGTGGCAGTGGAATTTTGCGCGCTCGCCGTCGCTGGCTGCTGCTGGAGATAAATCAATCGGGCCGTCACGTGGCCTTCGTGGGTATACATGTACACACCCACCGTGTGTCGGCGTGACGCCGGGTGTCGCGTGTACATCACCTACATACATGTGTGCGCACACCCATACGTATATACACTGTACATAACCTATGGGTGGTATACTCGAGGGAGAAGAGCCCGGGGTGAGACGCGTGTGGGTGAAGCGTATCGATTTGCGAGAGGGTTGGGTTGGTCGCTGCTTCTATAGGGTTGGGTGAACATATGTATGTATGTATGTATGTATGTGATCACCCACGTATGTGTTTATTCATGTATACCTACCCTGGGCGAGAGAATGGGCTTGGGATGAGTGGCCGGCGAGCTGGCGGCAACACCGTTGGCAGCAGCGGGGGGCAACGGGGGCGGCGGAGGCGGCGGAGCCGGCGGGCTCGAGACGGTGAACCACGACGGGTTACCGTTGCCACTGCTGTTGCTACTGTTGTTATTGTTGTTGTTGCAGTTATCATTGTTGTTGTTGGTTAAACTGCCGTTGCCGTTGGTGTTGCTCGGACCGCCGGCCGGTGACTGTTGCTGCTGATGCGGCCTTTGGACTTGGTGTTGCTCGCGACTTTGGTCCCGCATTGCTTTGCGTAGCCGGGCCTCCTTAGGATTGTACACGTAATCTGCAACATGTATTATATTCCAGGTGTTAATAGCCCGTTGACGCCAGTTGATCGATTTTAAATGAACTTGCTTGATATTTATAATCTATTTTCTCATTTAGTTTCGATTATTTTATCAAAACGGGGATCAATCGAATGCGCGTACGAGAAAAAGCCCGCGCTTTTGGGTTACGCGACGACGACAGTATAGTTCATATATATATTATATATTTGTACATGCGAGCTGTTTTACAAAACATTAAGTACCGAGCAAAAGTCAATAAGAAAAGAGGTGCGACTATATTGTCTTCAAGCTTTTATAAGTTTTTTGTTTGTTTTGGGACAGTTTTTTGACAAATATTTTTGTCAGAGAAAATGCTTCTCTCAAAAAGAGACCAGCTCAAAGCGTGAGTTGTTTTTTAAAAATATTTTTGTACTCCTGTGTACAGGTATAACTATTCCAGAGACTCCGAGGCAGGTATTTTGGCGTGGAATCGCTCGTATACACCTATACACACGTGCAGCCGAGGCTTATAAATTTAAGCTGTATTGATTTTATAACTGCTGCTACTGCATCGTCAGGGAAAAGTATGAAACTTGATGATTTCGTGGCTTGTGCCGCGACGATCGTCCTTTCGATCGAAACAATTTTCATCGATCTCGAAATCATGTTTGTAAGTATACCGTATATCTTTATGAGCATGAGCGTGCGTCGAAGAATGTGCGACACGAGTGACAAAATATTTTTCCCGGTAACCTCATTGTTTAGGTAACAAGGCTAAGCCGCGGATGGAAGCGTACTCGTTACTTTCAATAGGATTTTCTCGCGACAATATAGAGTGCACGAAAAAAAGAAGAAAAAAAAAAAAAAAAAAAAAAAAAAAAAAAAAAAAAAAAAAAAAAAAAAAAAAAA